GGACTGAAACACTGAAATTTGTTAACTATACATGGAAATTTATGAAACGCCTGTGTTGTTTGCTTCTAACGTTCACACCTGGGCTCAGTTGTTCGAAGGATGGATGATGCCATCCACACACTCATCCACTGGCTAGCGATTTTTCCGCCGAATAGCGTTATCTGCTCTTTGAACAACCGGATCCTGAAGTCTTTTCCCGAGTGCTACAACGAGGGGTTCACGTGGTATGAAGTTCATGTCGCTTGTATCAGCAGGACTCCTAATGTTATACTATAAACTTTGTATTTTAGGCAAATCCAGATGACAGACATAACACCTCCATATAGCTCGATAGTTACAGAGATTTTGACAAGGCACATGGAATTTGCTCACAAATACGATCTTGCCTAAAACAACACGAAATTACATTTTTCGAAGTGGTGTCAACATTTTCGACTTTTGCGGGGTGGTTAAGTTCAAGAGATTTGGATCAAGATCAAGTTAATCAAAGATTTGGTAATACCCTATTGGTGATAAAAATCTACCTTTGGTGCCAAAAATCACTTGAAAGCCTCGCGTATGTGCCAGGTGATAGCCATGACTATTAAAGTAGCAATGTAAAGAACACGTCTCCGTGTCCCGGTGGGTGGGGGAAGGAACACTCTCTTATTTGCCTCAAAAGGTGTTTGTACTTCCCAGAAAGGTTTGGTTTTCGCGTTCTCCAGTCTTAAAACAGGGCCGGAATAATTTGCTTTTATGGCATCTTGAACATGGTGCAGCGTATCCTTCTGGACTGAAAGCCTTGAACTGGGAGCGAACTTGTGCGACAGTATCTTAGAATCTCCGGTGGAGAGATTTTTTCCTAAACAGGGTCGGAGCTTGAAGGCCCTGACGGCACAACCTTGTCCAAAATCTTCTGTACACCCTATTACTAACCCCCCCCTCCCATCTCCCATCTCCCATCTCCCGGGGGGCCGTCCCTACCAACCTTGCGGCTGATCAGATATTACGCTGGAATGCTAGAGTCTCCCTGTAAAATTTAATCAACCGTTGCAACTTACAGTTTAAAGACTTTGGACTTTGGTCTTCCAGTGCAGTGCAAATCATGGTCGAAGATAAGAATATAAGCAACTTGAGCTTCCGCACCTTTTCAGGCTGATTTGTTACAATTTTTGGTCATAGTACAACCATTAAACATTGTACTCTAAGGTGAGAGGCATTCAGTTGCATAATGGGAGAACAACAGGTAGAGAGAAAATGCAAAATTTTGGTATGTTTCGGACCAAAATGAAAATGGGCGATTCTTTCCATTGAGAGTAAAAAATGCAAAAAGTTGTCTTCAACCGAATGGGAACAGTCAACACCTTGCCTGGACCCCCTCCTTCTATCCGAAAAAAAAAAAGGGAATCATTTGGTATGGCTTGAGATGTTTCAACTCTTCACATTGTAGTGCCCGAAACCGAGAAGAGCTGAACAAGACTTTGAACCTATTAATCTTATCGATAGAGAATAAGAAACTATCGGATTCCCTTCTCCTTAGTAACCTACAGTGCACCACCACCAATCAAAGATTTTTTTTTTTTTGCCTTGATCCTCACACCCACTCACTTGCCATTAAATTATCAGGTTCTCCTAAAATCGGGAAAGAAAATCTTCTTTTAAATTTAGTTCGTTAAAAGTGAACCAGCGCTGGTGTATTCTATCGAGATATTGGTTTCGATACATCAGGCCTCCGGCTCAAATTTATTTTCATCACAATTCTAGCAGACTCATGTTACGGATCGATACATATGCTTGCTTTGATAAGGAGTTCAACAAATATGAGACTATGGAATAGCCATAAATGCGCAGATGAAATTGCCAGAACATTCGTTGGTCTTTCGACTTAACCCCCATTTCTCGAGTTAAACTACTTTCTTTTGTTTTAAAGCTCCATTGATCTGCAAGCAGACAGTGCCACTTTACATTTAGAATCCTTGGTAAAAGTACTCTCTTTTTTTTTTTTTTTTTTTTTTTTAATAAATCCGGTTATAAATCTCAAGAGATGACACACGCAAATCCATATAAATTTTGTACTTAAATACCGTCAACCAGTTTCTCATTCTCTGTCATCACAAGTTGTATAAATGATCAGCTTTTTAAGGACTTGTACAGATCTGATGATAGCTTTGTTCCTACTTCTTTGGTTAAAATGAAGTATTATGAGTATATAGAAATTCGACGCAAGGCTAACTATAAACTCAAAGGAACAGTTACTTATCGCTCCTAGGTCCAGTTGTCCAGCGGTCCTTACTCAAGGGGTTTATTTAGGGGTGGGCTCATCTTAAACCAGGGTGCATATCTGATACCTATAATGATGAAAACAAAGTCACGAATACTGATGCACTAACTTATTTCGAAACAGGAGTTACGAACCAATCTAGTTTGTATATTCTCTGGTCATAGGAATCGTACGCTTGATGATTGGACCGTTTTTCTAAAAATATCTTTAAAATATCAATTATCGTCTTATCAAACTATTTATCACTTGCATCCACCGCAGAATAGCATCAAACAACACCGCCGCTCCGAGCTTTTGACTCTGTGCTGTCAGAAAATTAATTTGCGTGATAGCACATTGATATGGAGCGTTCTTCAAAGAACGAGACTTATTGGAGCCTTGATATAAGGACTCTTGAAGAGATCTTATCTTTGGGTTTAAACAGCTTTCGTGCCATATGTTTAGGCGAGCGTATTCTCGCCTTGTATCGAGTGAACTTTTGTCTTGTATCACTTTAAAGATTAAATTCGTTTCGTCTTCCGGTGTAAAAACTGGGGTTCGAAGCTTGATTTAATAGAAAAGACCACACACAATTTTGCATGACGGGAAAGTGTGGATACGAAAGATAAAGAAGAATTGAGAATAATCCTTGCTGACAGGGAATGATGACACGTGTATTCCATCTGCCATCCTGAAACTGTCCCATTCCAGACAAAGCCGAGTCTCGCGTGTTCTCTGTTAAAAAAATGATCAGTTTTCTCAACGAAAACCAGAGAAGATCAAGCGAAAACCAAACTAACCCTAAGTGGAGCTGTTACCAAATGATGCGGCAGAAGCAAAGGAACAAAGTCCATTTTTGATTGTTATCATTCTATTTTCACATCGTACCTGGTAGAGTTTTGATCTTGTATGTCAAGACCTATTTTCAGAGATCATCCAATCCTTCATTCTGAAGACCCCATACTCGATTTGATGACGGGAAACAGAGGAACTACAAGTTATTCTCGCGTGATAATGTGTAGAATTACATAGGTTTAAAGGATTTCCCTGGTTCAGGCCTCATTTTGCGTAAAGTTTTCATACCTTTCCTTCTTTTACTGCGTGAAGATATTCTCAAGTCCCTTGATATTTTTGTATCTATTAATTTCGATTCCTAAGTGAAAGGCCTAGTTCATAAATCATTCATTTGTGAAGCACACAATCATCTGCAATACCTCATTGCTATTATGTTTTTTATCCATTTAGGAGTATCATTGAAATCCTCTTTTTAATTCAGTGTTAATCCTCTTAAGGACAAGAACTCAAAAACGTCTTAGCAAAAATTAACCCGGCCCTAATTCTTCCGAGATGGGATAAATGTAATCGTGTGAGTTAAATTAAACTGTAGATTTCCTGATTGCTAAGGGTGAGTTTAAAGCGTCTTCGTTGCACTAGGCCAAAGGGAAGGTTCGTTATGCACACATACAATTATCTACATGGCACAAAGATTGAATCGTCGACTTCTGCTGTTGTTTATTTTGGATAACAGCAGAATTTTATGCTGTGGATCTAAATGACACATTTTATCGTGTTCAAAAGCAAAGAAAGGTAAAAATGTACTCAATGATGTTGGTGTACTTATAAAAACACCAGTGACATATGGGGTTTTGGATCTGGGTTAAGAAGGGATGGCTGACATTCTTGCAAGAGAAACTTGTTTCAAACTAGTTATGACATCTGCTGGTTACGATTTCGAACATCCTTTTGACTACTGAGGTAGCGTGAATCCCTTCCCAACCCAAGCAGTTGATGGCACAGAAAGTGATAGTTGATGTTGTCCTTTCACTTGACAATGTGGTGGATAAAGAAGGACAGAAACTCTTCGAGCATCAAATATACAGCTGAATACTTGAACAAAAAAAATTAAATAATCACATCAAATTTTTACTCTCAAGAACTGGTTATAGATTTGCCCTATAACTACTAAGTATTTCCATTAAGATTATTCAAGAATGTTTGATGTTTCATCAAGACAACATCCTTTGGCATGTACGTGTGCTTAATTCTCAGTAACTTGTTTGACACTGCAAGGGGACGTTGCATGTTGTGTATCCTACGGGAAAGTAGTGCTATGGTGCTGCTCCTTTAAACTGCTCCTTTAAACTTCTCCTTAAAACTACATTGTTTCTCTCAGAATTCAATTTTTCATCTCTTCTAGAAGCTAAAAACACAATCCTTTAATTTGACTAAAATAAAACAAACAATATAACGACTCAATCTCTAGGATAATGTTTCCAGTACCACACTCAGACTTCAATGAGAAAAGCTACATGTAGGGCAGATATTTTAGGTATTTCCACCAATGTCTAGAGATCAAGATCATTTGTAACAAACAGTTAGAACTGTTACGTGTAAAAAATAAAAGTGTTTCTTTCTAAAATGTAAGGTATGTACTTGATAAGAACTTAGTCTCGCCATGTCGACATTTCTTAGACTCCCTGACGTAATTTAGGAGTTCTGGTATGTATATCCCGGCCTTGGTATGCCACGGTACGATATCTCAAATAAGTAATGTTATGTTATTGAAACTGAACAGCACATTCTAAACCTTTGAATATGCGTTTAAGAATTTTTAGGGGGCGCTACCTTAGAATATGAATTCAATTTGAATGCATTCTTCTCACTTCGGTTAAACACAGAGAAGTTGCCCCACGTTTTGCACTAAACTGTTTTCTTAGCAGAACGTAGATACACATGAAAAAAACTATGCTTGAACTTAAAAAAAAATCGGATAAAAATATTTTATTCATAATGTTTAATATATACAAGTGCTCCATGCCATAGGAAAAATTTCAAATTAAACAGTGAACCACAAATTGTAATTTTGGTGTAGTACATCTGTACAGCTATATCATATTTCTTTTGGCATGAAAAATGGTGAGGGCCTCTATTTGCCTATCACACTGTTGAGGAAATTGCCTCTCTTTCCTGGAGCAATCGTTAAAGACCCACTCCCCTTTAAAAAATTACAACAACAATTTGGAGAATTGAAAAATGATATAGGTACAGCTAAGTCCTTTACCTGCACATGCATACTCGTCCTGTACACTTCACTTATAAAAGAAAAAATACCTTTTGCAATTCGTTTGTAACCTTCAGTCTGATAAATTATTCCACAAATTTACTTTAACAAAAGTAGTAAATTCTTTTAGCAACCCTCATAAAAAACGATCTGTAACTCAGTTCATCAAATATGACAATAAACTGTAGTTACAGTTAGATGTGTTCGTTTTTCCATCCGTAACAAGCATGAAAGTGCGTGGTAGCGGCTGCACACGAATGGAAACAGTGGCACGTGTTCCACACTTCACAGCTGTTCGGGAAAGCTGCGTTAGGAACTCTGGGCGCGCACAAATGTTCCTGTCTCTGAAAATGGAGCGGGGCCTCAAGTACTGGGTGGCAGCAGTGGCCAATGTTTCTCGGCGCTGCCAGGGAACCTTGAAAAAAACATACCAACAAATCAGGATTAGTTTGGTTTGACTCCGTTGCACCTGAAGAAGTTAATCGGATATAGCACCTCGAGGCAAAAGTGCAGTAAGACGATTGAACTACATTGCAAAAATACACTGATTGGAATAGTATTACTTAGTGGCATAGGTTCGCTAAATTTCATTACTTTAATAGAAGAACCCCTTTCTTCACTACAAGAAAAAGCTGCGACTGCGCGTGTCATCGCTCTTTTGCGAGGACGTTGGAAGACCAAGACCATGAGAGGTTTTCATCTTAACAGACTGTCATCGCTTTTGCCGAGAGACATATCATTTTTGTCGTCACAAAAGAGAGTTTTTGTCAAAAAGATCCTTCGCCCGCTTTGCTTACCGAAGGGGAAAGTCTCATAAATTTTTGTAGAGTAATTTACACAACGATATGGATTGTATTGTCGATTACGAATAATCTCCTTTTACTTGCATCAAGCTTTGCGTCATCTTAGGGGTTGAACTTGTCACCAGTTACTCGTCTTGATTTATGTAACACTCTTAAACAAGAAAAATTGCCCCTCTTCATCTTAAGCTGACAACATTCAATGAAATGGATCATTTTCAGCATTACGTGTCTTAGGCTGAATGATAACTAGTTGGTGATTAATCATAGTTTCAAGAGGAAGTTTTCTTTAAACTGAATTTTTGGTTACGAGTTTGGCTGGCTCGCCTTTTCTCAAATAGTGTATCCCATTCATGACCGCCCATTGCTTCAATTAAAGAGCAATGTCTTGCGAATACCTATGAATTTTTGTAAATTGACAAAGCGCTGTTTAGTTTGTTGAATAGGACCGTAAAAAGGCATGCAACTTTAAATCGACGTGAGTTAATTTTGGAAGGATCGAATGGCCCTCTTCTCACAGATTTACATAAAATTGGAGTGTTGAAATTATGAAACAGATTAAGAGGCTTGTAAATCGAGGGCGAATTAGAAGTCGAAAAGCGCCTTCCCAAATCAGTGAAATGACTAATGAAACAGAATTCACAAAAAAAAAAAACAAAATGCAACGCGAGAAAAATTTCAAAATAGTTTGCTGAATAATTTCTTTCGTCAATCTCGCCTCCTGACCTTTAAACAAATCTTCGTCCACTAGCGTCCCTTAATATGCTGATATATTTGTCATGAGATGAAATTTAAACCGAGGCATCAAAACATAATTGAAAAACTTACAATTATCATGTTTTTCTTTTTGCGAAGCAAGCTTAATTGCAGCTCTAGCTAGAACAAAATGAACTAGTAGTTTGCCTTGCATAAATTTTCCCTTGACAATTGGGTCTCAAAACGGATGCATTACTCAACTGCCTGCTGTGATCATTCAGTCAACAAATCGAGAGAACTAAAGTTTACTTTAAGTTTAAATGTTTAGAATTCAGTTTCAAGAGTAAACTTTTCACCCAGCCCGAATGCATGACTGTCCATCTCAGGGGTTAGCTAGGGACTAATGTTTGCGCACGCAAAATTACATGTACTTTTAAGTTGAATTTCATCAGTTATTCACATCTGGTACTGGTCGAGGTGTAGCCTTCGCAACTATCCTTTTACCACTCTAATAACCCCTGTTAAAATCCTATCATATTTTTCGCACACACATGGCAAGGATGGAAACAGATTGAAAAAAACAAGATCATTGTTAGTTGTTTTCATCTTGTAGAGATTCGACTACAATAGGAAAATTCTAGTGCAGAAGGCTTTCATCATCGAATTTACTGTTAAGTGCTCTTCTAAATCTATTTATTGATTAGGCCAGATACAATTAATAAAAAAAAAGAACTGTCCCTACTTTCGCTTAGCTTCAACTTTCATTGATTCAAACCGAGAGGTTAATTTCAGTGACTAAACATTCTCAACGAGAAGTGAACTATTCAAGCCAGTGAAGGTATTGGTAAGTTTGGAAGTCGGTTGCCCTCGCAAAACCGCCCTGGCAAACATTCTTCGCAAGAGTTCTCGGTCATCTTTCACTAAGGCGTGTGTTGTGGGTTGTGTAAGTGTCTAAATACACAAAGACGTTTAGCACGTTAGCTAATGATATTACTCAACCCGTTAGACACGTAACTATTGTTTCAAACTGGAACCATGATTTAGCGCACGGCAAGAGATTTTTAAAATTGAGGACAACTGTGATGAAAAGAAAGTTTAGCTCCATGAGTTCGAGAATTCCACTCGACGGAAAAGCGCATATTCAACAAGGTCAAGTGTTTTTATTAAACTAAATTCATATTGAGTTTTCCTATAAAAAATCGCAAAAATATGTTTCAAACTTCTCGAACCAGACTCTCGGTTCAACCCGCTTCGTTTTGACCCGTTTAAAACAAGTAACGTTTCCTCAATTGTAATTTCGAAAACGAAGCCCGATTTACTCAGTGATTTGAGTAAGTTTACAATACAGTGCTATTATTTATTTCGAGCTTATGTGAAGACTGTTTGCTCAGTCACTTAATTTTTTTCTGACTGGGCACGGTGAACGATTTGCCCAGGACATGTAACTCTCTGCTAAATTCACTAATTGATTTCAGCTCAACTTATATGTTTACATGCGCGTATATCAAAGGCCAAGTGCTACCTTATGAATTTACATTACACACCGGAAACTTAAACTCGCTATTAAACTTACCAATGTTTGGATTAATCACACTTCTAAGAGGCACTTTCTCACTCTTTCTCCTTGTCTCAAGTGAAGCCTCTTTTTCCCATGTTTTCTCATCAGCTAGAATGCTTTCGATAGAGAACGATCCGTGGAAGGGCTTGGGTGTCGAAGACTTGTTAACTGCAGGGATATTAGTGGATCGTACCCGGTTCACACGGACAGGCTCATAAGAAGGGAGCATTAGAATGTTTCTGCGCGCCACGTCTTGGATACTAAACTCTCTCACGGTGCTGTTAGGTAGGATCTGCTCAGTGGTAAAGCCATGTCCGAAATCTTCTCTGTCTTCCTTTTTCTTTGGTTTTCTTCTCCGCCTTCTTCGGAATGTCCCATCTGCCAACAGGTAATCATGCAGTGAGCTTACCGTCCAGTAATTGTCCTTACCCCATGGCCGCGCGGGATCACGCAGGATCTTAACGAAGCACTTGTTGAACGACAGATTGTGGCGCACGGAGTTCTTCCAACCTTGGTAGGGACCTCTAAAGAAAGCGTAATGCTGGACTAAGTATTCGTTTATTTCTGTCAGCGTCAGCTTCTTCCCCGGCGAGTTTAAAATCGCAGTTGCAATGAGTGCAATATAGGAGTGTGGAGGCTTCAAACGTTCTGCTTTTGACGATAAACATGGTTCGTTTCTCTGTTTGTTCGTGGACAGTTCTGAGCCATGTCCTTTGAGTGGTTCCATCTTCCGCACTCTGACCGCAAAGTTTCGAGCGTGTGCAGTTTGTTTCGCGAATTCTTCCGATAGACGGGCTTTCAGCAAGTCTCAGAGATGTCCATCTCTTATTTCAAACCTCGGAGAATGTAAATAATTCCTTTCTAATCTCGCTTCAACAAATCGACCAGCAATGGTTACAGCTTGAAAGATAGCACCACCCACATAGGAACAATTAGTGTTTATAAACAGTCAGAAGCCTGATCAATTAGACAATCAATTTAATTCATGTACCGTGTAAATGGGATTTAAAATAAAGCACCTTTCTAAAGCTGTTGCATTGTTCAGGTACTCGTCCGACGATGGTTTGCGCGGCGACCCCTCGCGCGGAGTGGTATTTAAACCCCTCTTAGCAGACACTATGAGCGCGCGCGCCTGGCGTTAGCATCTGTTCTGTGTTAACAAATGTTTTTCGAGGGGTTGATTATCGAACATAAGCCGTGCTAAGTTTGGTTATCTCGGCACAGGATCGATAGCTGTATGCTCTGATTTCGAGATAATTCGATCGGCGCCATACAATGAGACTTGCGCCTTTGTTTTTGGTGTTAAACTGAATCCGGTAGCAATTTATCTTAATTAGTGTCATTAAGCGGATTGCAGGCGACAACGACTCTTCCAAAAGTGCGATATTTTACGTATTTCGTTCAGCTATTGGTAGTCGTGCCTATGTACAAGGTTTTTTTTATTAATCCTGGTAACATATATTACACTCCCAATCTGAGAAAATTTGCAGCACGTTAAAGCACTCTGTTCCATGCTCAGCTAAATCTATGACGCATGATTGCTATGCACGTTTCAAAATTGTTTCAAATTCATCAGTCTGGCAAAGTTAGAGACACGAATGGTGCGATCCTTCTGGTGAGCAGTTAGTTTAACAAACACAAAAATGTAAATTTTTAGATTCCGTCAGTAAGAGAAGGTTGAAAGATGCCTCACACAAGTTTCACTAAAACGTCTCGTATAGTATAACGTTGCCTAGCCGAGTTTAAATAAGGGAAACGAGCTATTAAGGAATATTATAAACTATCCCTGTATGGAAATGGAGACCTTTCTTTTTGCCTTCGTTTAGCTTTTAAGCTAAATCACTCGCTTAAGTTTCGTTTTACGTGTTATTCAGGGCTCATTACTTTTTATTCGAGTTTTGGGTTATTAAATAAGACCTTGCGAATGGAGAAGAAACTTTCAACATCGTCCGTATTGGGAAAACTGTTTTGTTTGATCTCTTTGTTTGTTTAATGGCTTTTCATGTCGGATGCATAGCATCGATAATCGTAGATCGCACCTTATCAACCAATTACAGTCAACCAAAGCAGATGCTGTGCGGCCAATCGACTGTATATCCCATGAAAATCTGTTTACCTGAGAAGCTGAAATAGTGCAATTAAGTGCTTGTTTAAATGGTTGTTTGGATTAAAACAACCGCTGCTGACCATTGCGTCTTCAGTATCAAAGGATTTAAGAGTTCCTCGAGTGGAGCAAAACAACTGGTCATAAATTGTACATGCCTGATATGTCAGGTATCATAGAACACCTCCGTGTGTTTCGTTTCGGCTGTGCTATCTTTGGAAGACGAACAAAGATATATAGATAAAGCTTGGAAACTCGAGAAGCGGAATAAAAATTATCGCCACAAGAAAAGCAATCCATCACTGTCAGTCATCCATTCGGTCTGTTGGGATTCTTACTTTGTGTTATCCCACGAGAAAGGTCGATTTTGTATTTAGTTTACAGTTCATCTGACGATCGTAAGCTTTTGAGAGTATTATAGTAAGCCTTTTAGCACTTTAGTTGTAAACTGATTAATTACATTCGGCCGTTTTGGGGTATCTTCCACTCGACCTTACTTCGCGCCCTTTGTTTTGAACGCCACTTTTCGGTCACTTTTCACAAAGTCTTCCTTAACAGTATTACTTACTGGTAATATTTATTCAAAAGTAAAAAGCTTGCACTTAAGTTTTTACCAGAGAACACAAAATTCAGTTCTTACCAAGAAAATTGAAGGTCGGCTTTGAAGAAACTAAGCAATCTTAACGCATAGGAAACGAACAGGTAGATAAAAACTACTGTTATCTAAGGGTGCGTTGACACACCATCCACAGAAAAGGATGGAAACCGACGAACGTCTTGTTAGGTTTTTCTTACTTGAACTGTTCTTTTTGTTTTAACGAGTACTATTTAGGTGGTTGTAACGTTGTGCGCCATGATAGGTCGTGTTAGTTCAGTCAGGCCCCTAAATGGCTTCCTTTTGAGTCGCGCTTGGTTACTGTTTACTCTACTTTTCATCATAGATTATCCGTCCTCCACCCAAGTTATTATCTGGATGAATTTAATCACAGACACCCTGTCTCCGAATTGTAGATAATTCGAGAGGCTATTTAATTAACTTCTGATATGCTAAACTTGCGGTCAATGGCCACGAACAGAATACGTTCAAGGAAACCTGCCGAAACATGCTTTCACAAAATACAAAGTACAGTTATCTGTGAAGTGACGGTTTGTTCTCTCCACTCTAAGTGCTGTGATAGGGTTTAAAATGCTTGGCACGGTGTGGAAATATGGTTGTTTTTATAACTGCTCCGCCAATTTATCGCAAGCGAAAATGAAAACCATAACATAGATTAAAATGAAAGAAAACAAAGATCTTAAACTTCGTTAATGAATTGCCCAGGTGTTCGAAAGTCGAATGTTAAAAACGCAAAAAAAAGATTGTTGTTATTGTCCTCAATAAACCTCTCTTTTTGTGCCTCTCTTTAAATAGTATCAGTAAAGTTTTTCCGCATTGTAAAGGAAATTGCCTAACAACTATTAAATGGCTGGCTTTAGGGCGAACGTTTGTTCGTGCGTTCTTGCTATCTGCAGAAACAGTAATTGAACTTGAGCTATGATGAATAAGGTAAAATAAGTTGCTCTTATCTTGATCATACGCTCAAATATGTGTTTGGAAGGAACGAAGGATCGCAACTAAAATACCATTTACTCGATCGCAACCCACAAATAACGGAGGCGCTTTTCAAATTCTTAAGAACGATCGGCCATAAATATTTAGCAGCGAGCATACCGCAACTGTATTTCCTTAATTGTGGGCCTGAAAGCCTTGAAAAACGAGGAACCACTAGTCACAAAATGCGTGAGTTGTTTTTCACATTCTCAACCAAATCACTTTCTGACCCCAGTTTGCACTTTCTGGATGCCGATTTCTCGATAGCCTTTTTAACTGTTCCAAAATTACGCTTGTCCTTTATGAACTGATCATTTACAGTTGTTATGATAGATAAACAGGGTTTACCTTTTCCATATTACATGAGAAATTAACATATTTCCAACCTACATGCTTAAGTTGCAAGGAAGTACGACAACACGGAAATTCCATTGCGCTTTCTACTACTGAGCACTCGTCATTGACCAATCAGAAGCGAGATTTTTGGTAAGTATCTAAGGCAATTCAGAACCGATAGTGTGCACGCGAAGAAGACTGGAATCAGTGTACCTCCCCCAGATTCTGATAACTGTTTCTCCCATTTAACTACTATATATTTTCTCGTAAATTAGTTGAGAGAATTTGGTATTACATCAGAATAACATCTGTGTAATAAGCTCTTCTGCTCTCATGATGTGTTTGCTGAGTAATGTACATCAAGAAGCTTTCTAACAGCACAGCAGTGACAAGCTGCACGTTTATTTGTACGAAACTGTACCCCATTAAAACGTAAATGTGATATATCCGATAAGAGTTGGTCAGTTGGTCGGTTGGAAACCGTCGAACGTGTATTGAGCGGTCACCCACGGGGAATGGCAGCGGTTCCACAGACTGAGGGTATTATAAATATTTACAGTTTCAACTTAGTTGATATTACCAAATTGCCTTGTTACCCCCCCCCCACCCCCCAACCAACACAGCACCACAGTTTCTTTAGAAATTTACCCCCTTCATTATAAAAAACGATACACAACGCCACTTAATACCGTAATTGACCACTTAAAGTACAAAATCTCGCTCGAAAATACTACTTACTTTGACTTTGGGAGAGAAACATACATAATAAATTACTTTAAAGGTACAAATGGAGGACGATAAAAACGGGCCGTTGGGACTTAGCTGAGGGTGACCACGAACGCTAAATAGAGGCGGAAATAACAGGGATTACGGGCGAGCAACAAATACGGGACTTTAACAACTGACCGCTTAATACAAGGTGACCATTTTATACAATGCCGTCCAGTACAGGTTCGATTGTAAGTAAACAAATAGGCCTTTATAGATTATGCTGGTAAAAGTAGCATATTATGCTAGTAGCATTGCTTTTTTGTTTTTGGTGAAATTACGCTAAAATTATGCTCTTTTTTCCAAATTATGCCCCCTTTTTTAAAATTATGCTCTTTGAAAAAATTGCAAATAAGTCCAAAAAATACATTTTTTAATTAGAAGCCATTGGTTTACAAGAAAGAAGTGCAACAAATCTCTTACGCAGTTTGCAATAGGTGTTTAGCGTTTTGTAATATAAAGGCGAGTCTACGCATTTTGTCAAAGGCTGTAGAATTTTGTAATAATCGTCGGTCTACGTATACTGACAAGCAACAAACAACAACAAACTTTATTCATTAATTCAAAAATTATAATTTCATGTTAGCTTCCACCCCATTTAGAAGAGCCAAATCGAGGCTGGGAAAGAGACACACAAGTTTACAGAGAGGAAAAGACAAAAGATATTTTACAAACAGTACCAGCTGTCGCAAAATGAAATTATGGTATCAGTAAAAAACATTACGTATATATACAATATTGTACGATCAATCAAAGGATGGAATAACCTGGATAAAGACCTAAAAGAACTAAAGAATGCCAAATAATTTGGATATATCAACAAAGTTGAAATGGTAAATTGGCCACCGTAACGATTACAAAAGCTGACGTTTCGAGCGTTAGCCCTTCGTCGGAGCGAATGCCAAATGCCAAACACCAAAAGCTTTGAAAAAGAAAGTTATAAACAATTTACTTAGTAAACAAAAAAGTGATATGAATTTTTTATAATATGGATGATGATATTTTAACATGTTTTTATTATTATGAGTTTTTAGTATATATACATATGTATTTTTCTTTTTAATAGGTTTTTAAATTATATACATCGAATTATTATTACTTTCATTTATGTGAATTTTATTTATTGATTAGATTACTTCATAGAAGGCCATAGGGTTATCAGTTGTACTTAAACTGTTACGTGCTACCCTCTTAAAATAAAGTCATTATGTATCTTTGTGAAATTCTACTTTGATTTTT